AGGGAAAAGAAACAAAGGAGGGAAAATTGCAGAAGAATGAGGGAAGCCTAGGTTACAGGAGAATTAAAAAGCAACAGCTCAGGGAGGGAATGATAGAGGAGACAGTTCTTTGTAATGACAAAAATTCCAATGACAAAAATGATGAAACAGGAGGAATGTAGATGTAGCTTCCTTCGCTATCAATTCTGATTGCTCTCCAAAACACAACCTGCCCTGTGCACTGAAGGAGGTAGCTGTCCTACGGAAACACGCACTATGCAATCATGGAATACCAGACTACCATGACGTATATGCCCATGGGAGCAAATTAAGGTTGCCCGGACAGTCTTTAATTCTAAAATTTCCTAACTTTAGAATGCTTGGTTTGACAACTTCAGCAATATTCTTTTAACATTTTTTTTTATATCACTTTTTTGCCATATAAATACATAGGCTTTCTCTTCCCCCTGCCTCCCACAACCAAAGCCCCCCCTCCCCTCACTCCACCGCTCCCCATATGACCTAGTGTTTGGCATCTTTGTGGTCAGCTATATTAGCAGGACTGGAACCTGCAGACCTACCACAGTTCTTTCCTCTCGACCTCATGGAACCACTGGTAGCTAGGATAGTTTTGACATGATTTTGTTTTGTTAAAAGTCAAGTGATGTATAAGTCAATAACTGTTGTTTTTCAAAATCAGATATATACCCCCACAAATGACCTGCAGGCTTGGAACCTTTGATGCTGCACCTGACCTCTATGGTACTAGAGTTTAAGATTATTAATAGAACAGAGAAGTCTAACCTCTACTCCAGGGGAGGGAGAAAATGGGTTACGTACCCTTCTGCCATTCTCGTCCCCAACCTCTTTACCACATATATCCATTGGCTGCTACTCTCCTTTCTGCTTTGGTCTAAGATTTCCGCTTTTACCACTCTTATTATTCCCCTCTCTGCTCCTGCCATTTTCAGCTCCTGGCTCTCCATCACCCTACATGTATTCCCCTCCCTTCTACCACCTGTCTTTTCCCCTCCCTCTCCATAAGCACCTATTCCTCCAACTCATGTGCTATACAGCTGTTCTTCCTCCTGTTCCATCCCCACATGTACCTGATGTTTGCATGGAAAGCCACAAAGACACAGCGGAAAGTCTTCCTGTTCTGAATTCTATGCTACTCCAGTTCCCAACAACTGGCAGAAAAACACCCTTCATAAGTTTTTTTCAAGCTTCTGTTGTTACATCTCAGCTCTGTGTTCTTGGGGAAAACTTGCACAGGACGCAGTCTGTCTGACTCGCAAAGAATTCCCCCTCCCTTCCCCCCCACCTAAACAAAACTGATTAAGATGCAGTGAGAGACACGCCTAAGACCCTCCAGATAAGGGTGACAAGAGTGAAACAACTGCCCTAGGTCTTATTTGCATCTGAGATGGAACCAAATGACCATTCATTTACATGGGAGATGGAGAACAGAAAGCCCGAAGCAGAGACTGCAGTGAATTCTGGAACCAGAGAAGCAGGGAAGCATTGCATGATGGGTAATCTGTGCTCCAAATGCTAATCAACCCATATTGACACATACCCAGCTCAGCATTTATCACACCAGTTCTGATCTGGATTTACAAGACTCCCCCCCCGCCTCCCCAACACACCTCTAAGCAGAAGTAAAGTTTAATAGGCATCTCGGGCTGTACATTCCCCGGTCCCACTATGGGAGGTCTATTTAAACTTGATTGGCTAAAACTCGGTTGCCGGGTTAGGGAATGCTGAGGCAAAGAGACCGAGTTAGAGGGGGTATGGGCAACATTTGAACAATGGTAAAGGGGTTCATCACAGCGTCCAGCCTGTTGGAGCCCTGACCACAAGTGTTGTCATACTTTTCCCAGGACGACTGGTGGAAGTCCTCCTGCCCAAAGATTATAAACACTCCAATAATTGCCTTAAGTCTGTTAAAAGACTATAGCAAGATCTGGAAAAGTCATGCTAAGCTGAGACTTTTTCACAACAAGTAAAAATCCAAAACCCTGATGCTGCAAGCTATCTATCGTTTCTGAAGAAACCATGAGATATCCCATCAGTATATCTGCCATCCATAGGAATTTCAAGCTGGCTCCCAAGTATTTGGGTTACTCCCTAATCTTAAGCATTTCCTGAGTATCAATCAGTTTCTTGAGATGTTCCAAACCAGATAACCCCTTGTCAAGAGAAAACAATGATTTACACTATTGAGAATGCTTTGAAGAAGCTGGACTGAAGGTATAAAAATCTGTAAAAAAGCAGCAGTTTGTGTATGCTTCAAGAAGAAAAATCTCTCTGATACTCCACTGCTCTTCTCGAGAGTCTGGAGGAAACATATCATCTCCCTTCAAGGATTGTGCTATGAACTTTACCTGTCAGCTTTGCAACCTGAGTACTTTGGACTGGTGAGATCCCAGTGCGTTCTCTCTCTCTCTCTCTCTCTCTAAGCATAAATTTCTGAACCTGAACTGTATCAGTTAAGCTTGAGCTAAGTTTCACCAAACACTTAGGTAGTATTGTAATTGTTTGTGATTGTTTTTCCTTTGCATGTCTATTACTATTAGTACCATTATATATTTCATATACTTAGCAATAAATAACTTTTATAGTCAAACTGGTAGTAACTGGGTATATTTTTCCTTTTCTATTTCTCCTTCTTCACATGCTCTGCAGCAACGCTTCTTTTACTTAAGCTAAAGATCCCTGTGAAGCCCAAAAATACTGTGGGGTCTGCTCATCAAGAGGCCAAAGATTGGGACGTGCCGAGTTTGAAACACATAAGGGGATCAGCTTGTACAGGCTGATTGACCCAGTTTGACTCAGACGTGCCCTTATGAACTGAATGCTGGCCCATGAGGGTGTCAGCTGGACACCCAGACTGATTCCGAGGGATTCTGTTTACCTGTGTGCTTGTGTCCAACTGCAGTTTATTGTTGCTCTGATGAACTGATTCTTGGCATATGAGGGTGTCAGCCTGTCCATGCTGATCAACCCGGCCGGGTCAGGTGTGTCACATTAACGTGTGTGTTTGTGTCTATGACTGATTTGGTGACTGGAGGAACCCAGCCCCATTGAGACTGAGTCCTGCAAGATAGCTCCATTGGGGGTGAGGATTTGCAGAAGGGAAATGTACAGCTCCGTATAGAAACACAAATAACATAAGCAGCACACTGACAGAATTACCAAGACCCTAGAAACGTATCCCTTAAATGAGCACACCCCAAAGTAATGGGCAAATCTGGTAACACTGTTTTAATTACCACAGTTGATAAGAGAGAAAAGCAAATGTGATGGAAAGCAGAAAAAGGTCCCACTCTGCTTACCCCGACAGTTTCTGAAAATTGAGCCATTAAAAAAAAAAAAGTACTTGCGTGGAGAACTTTTTACCTTGTAAAGTATATTAGATATTATGGGTGTCTAGTATATCAGACATTATGGGTACAGCTATAGATGTGCTGGAGGCTGCTCCCACACGCTGTAATTACAGAATGTCAGAACAGACTTTATTAACTGAGTCCGCTGGAGCAGGGCAATTACTGTGTTCCAGCAGCCTCCCGCGTCACATGTATCAGCATCCTCACAGTTCAAAATGGTGGTGGGGGTACTTGAACTAAAGCTTGTTTGACAAGCTTTAGTTCAAGCTCCCTCTCTGCCATTTTGAAGCACGGGGATACTGGTACATGAGACACTGCAGCACTTTAGAGCGGGTCAAGGAGACACTCTAATTAAAGCACCTTCCACCCCCAGAGCACGTGTAGAAGTGCCCTATATGTTGAAGTAATACCTCTCTTCCTATGAATTGTGCTCCCTTAAGGTCAGAGAAACTGAGAAGGATCATACAGTTTTGAAGATTGAAAAGTTATAATAAAGAAGTAATATAAATTGATTTGGTCACCACTTCTGTATTACAGAAGAAAGTAATTCTTTTCACTAAAACCAGAATGAAAGGAAGCAAACTAAAGTAAAAGCTAACATACAAATTATTTCAGCTAACCTTTAAAAAAAAAAAAAAAATCAAAATATGTTTGTCCCTTCCATTTGGTGGTATTTGAAATCACTGAATATTTATCAAAATGGCACTTACCAGAATTCTCAAAACCCAGGTATTCTGGGATTTCTCCAGCAAACCATGTAGTACACAAAACAGACAACAACTCTTTTAAAAGCTGAAGCTTTTTGAGCTGAAAACCCAACATCAGTGGAAGACATTAAAAACACCATGGTATTTAGACAGCAAACATGAAATAAACATCTTAAATAGACATATAAAAATCATAGGCTCACAACTGTGTATGAATATTACACAAGACTGGAATTCTGAATACTTACATCACAATAACATCCCTCTGAAGAACATTATCGTGTTTTGTAGTAGAGCAATTTTGTGATTCCTGATCTTCACTGTCAGAGGATACGTCAATGTATTGTAAATTTCTGCGATTTTTGAAATGTGAGAGCTTTGTTGTCTTTTCTACTTCTGGGGTTTCTGAGACACTTGAATCTTCTGCATAAGCCATAGAAAGAGAGAGGAAGAACAAATACGAAATATAAATTCAAATGTTTAATCTTAATAAGTGCATCAACACAGAAGTCACAATCATCTCTCAGTGAAAAAAAAAGTGAAAATTAAAAAAAAAAAAAAAAAAGCTCACATCTTTACATAAAAATCCATGCATCAGGTTTTAGAAAGAGAGATTTCTCTGTTCTCCTTGACACAAATCCTATATTAGAATGGTATCCAGATTGTAGCTGTATTAGGTAAAAGGAATCAGAACTCGTGGTAGAGGCGATATCTTTTATTAGACCAACTAAATCTTTGCAAAAAAGAGTCTTTATTTGGGTTCTTCAGGCATAGGAAAAAAGATCTTTACTCGTATGCCTGAAGAAGGGTGCTTGTGCCCAAAAGCTTGCAAATAAAGAATTTTTTTTGTAAAGATCTAGTTGATCTAATAAAAGATAAATCACCTCTAGCACCAGTTCCGATTCCTGTATTAGAATACCACTCAGATTTAAATGAACGTGATTTCAAAAACTTCAGCCTTTTTGTTGAAATGAACAATTCAAGTTCATATTGCACTTGATCAAGTCCTGACACTAGAATGACAAAGTATTTAAGCTAAAATACCCGACTAACCTGAACTTTGATTTTCTCTGATTTACGATTCCAGGTTACATCACATGGATAATTACTTTGAACTAGACTCAACATCATAATGACAATTAAGTGGTGTGGGTATGGCTACACATGAAGCAATCCAGTTTATATGCAGTTTGAACCCAAAACAAACAGATATATAGAATGGCTAGAACTGTTCAAGAGTGTACACCTGGAAAATCAAGTATTATTCTGAAGTGGTTCATTGTGAGCCAGTTCAGTGTTGTGTGTGGCTCTAACCATTCTATGACCCAAATCTAGTTGATCCTCCAGCAGTTCCAGACTTCACTGCTCCTCACCTCTCCAGCACTGCTGCAACTGGCACTCTGGTATATGATCAGCACTCTACTGTCCCTTTCTTTTTCATTGGCACTTTTAAACATCAATGAGCTCCTTTGTACTTCTTGTTCATTAAAGCTACCTTTCTAACAAGCAGCTGTGTCCCCACTCTTACTCATCCACAGCCCCATACAATGTACCCAACAAGCCCTGGGAACCAAAAAACATGGGTCCAAGCATTTCTCTCCCATGAACCTAGAGTTAGGCAAGCACACTGCAAACTACAGGCAACTGCAGATTATTCAAGTTTACTGAACTAAAGTTTAGGAGAGAAGGGAAAGCAGGAAAGTGAAAAAGGCCCCCCCAAGTCACCCATCCCTGGAACCACAAAGCATAGGTGCAAACACTCCTTTCGCCCTCCCCCAACTAGTCTACTGACAGGCATACTGGGCTGAGTACTCACTCCCACCACTCTCTGGTGTCAAAGCCACAGCATTTCAATGCCTTAATGTGCCCTACATGAAACAATAGGGCACTGTACATGTTGACATCTCTAGCCCAAAGCAATTGTGACTCAGTTCTCAGTCAGTGACATTTGAGAGAGGGGTAAACAGAGGGATTCTAAGTGAACTGTTTGGGACCCTATTGGTGATGTTTGCCAGATATTTAAGCTGGCAAATGAACAGGAATAATTGAAAATGGGGAAGAAAGACACAGCTCAGTTGTGGGAGTGAAGAGAAAGTCAAAATGTATTCAGTGTAGTGCCTCAACATGACCTGGGAGAAAAAAAAAGAAGAAAAAAAGCTGGCACTGAGGTGGGGGGCTGAGCACAATGGGCACTACCATATGCGTTATTCAGATGGGCTGCACAAACCTATCCTTGTGGTAGGTTTCTATCACCAAGTTTGCCCAATGTGGGTCATGTGTTTTAGTCATGCTCAGTGTTGGCTACATTTAATCAACTTCATAACTGGTTTCCATTATTGAGCAGGTGTTGCTTTTGGCAGCAGTTTAATAACAGGCAACATTTCCTTGTACACAAATGTAAGACGAGGAACTTTTTCTCCATGTGACTGGGGGTGGGGGGGAGGCAGGGGGGAGGAGGAAGCCTCATCTTAATTTGTGTAAATATGGTGGTACATTTCATTTTCAGTGTTTCAGTTTGTTATACACTGACCCCTCAATTTGGTTTGCTACAAAACTAGCAGTATTAAATTTTTCTATTTAAAAAAAAAAAAAAAAAAACTTTACTTAACCTAATTCCTAGGTTTCCTATCCTATTTATTCAAATTGGTTTTCCTCTTAAAAAAAGAAAAGAAAAGAAAGAAAAGGTACATAGTAAAGGTCCAGCTGTCTTGGGGCTGCATAAAATGGGGATATAGGTGAGGCATAAGATCCATCAGCTGCTTTCAGGTCTGCAAAAAGGCAAAGCACCAGTAGATATAAGAGTGTAGAAGATCTGGAAGCCTCTAACAAGTAAATTCTGAAATGCTAGGACAGATTAAATCATTACAGAACCCACAACACCCCCCCCCGTGTCTGGCCACTAAGACTAAAAAAGGTTGAAAACCCCTGCTCTACATACTATATCTGTTTGCCCATCTCTACCTGAAAACATCTTCTATGGGAGTCCACAGTAGAGTGTAAGTACAGGCAGTCCTCGGACTTATGACACAACTGGTTCCTGAAAACAGCATCTTAAGTCGAAATGTTGCAACTCAGAACCGATTTTCCCCATAGGAAACAATGTTATAAATGGGGGATTGGTTCCTGAACCAAGGCCTGATACCCTATTTTCACCAAAAATACCACAGAATTTTGTACTCAATCAATTATTGATGAGTAATATAGCTACATTAATGTACTATATTGTAAACAGCATCATATTTATTTGGAAGAACTTCTTTGAGGCAGCTTTGCTGGACTTTTTGAAGGGCTCTTGGCTGGAGTCTTCTCAGGAGTCTTGGCTGCAAGTTTTTCTGGAGTCTTGTCTGCTTTCTTAAAGAAAGCATCCAAGGAAGTTTGGACAGATGTTCTCCAGGGAGATGAGTGATGCAGCAAAGTTGTTTGCTGGTGTTGCATCATGTTGGATCAAGCATTGTATAGTTGAAGCTGACGTCATAAAGGTGAAACAGGGTGTCAATTTATAAAACGCTGCAAGTGTGAAATGTTGTAACTTGAAACGTTGTAAGTCGAGGACTGCCTATACAGAGGAGTATAGAGAAGAACCCCAAGGCATGCCATTAAACATTTTTAACAGGTTTGCGTAGAAAGCAGTCATCAAGATGATTTCAATGATGTCCCTTTAGCAAAGCCAAAACAAAACCAAAATGTGACCTGCAGCTGGGAATGGCAGTTAATTTTTTCAATGGCTGGACATGGAGAGAAAAAGCCTGAACTAGAGTAGCAGCATTGGCAAAATTCATCATAACAAGAGAGGTAGTCTATAAAGGAAGAAAATCAGGAAAGAGAAGCCTTCTCCTGTGCTACCACAGTAGATATCATACTATTTCCTACAGCATATCCCTGACATCTAGATATGCCAGTTTTGGTAACAACAACTCCTTGGGCTACATAACAAAAATACCAAATTTTCTTGAATACCGAAGGAGGCTTTGGAGGCTTCGCCCCCAGCATGGGGGGAAACTCCCCATACTTTATATTCACGTACAAAAAACCCTCACTAAATACATTGCCTATCCTTAAACTGCTTCCAAAAACAGCATGTGTTCAGTAATGAAAATCAACTATGAAGTTGATTATATGCAGCCAACAGTGAGCATAACTGAAACATGTGACCCACATCCGTTTCCATCAGCAAGTTTGCACAATCACAAGCATAGGTTTGTGCAGCCCATCTGAACAAGGTATATGATAGTGGGTTGGAGACTCTGGTCTTTCGAGGTCCCTTCCAGCCCTTAATTTCTATGAGTCTATGATTTTTCCATGATAATGCCCATCGCACTCTGTTCCCCTCAGCACCAACTCCTTTCAAGCCATGGTGAACCACTACACTGAATACATTTGGTCTCTCTCTTGACTTCACATCCACAACTGAGCTGTGCCTTTCTTTGTAATTTCCAATGATTCCCATTTCTTCACCAGCTTTAAGCGTCTGAAAAACATCACCAAACGAGGCCTCAAACAGTTTACCCAGAATCCCTGCTGACCTGTGTCTCAGCTTGTCACATGTGATTAGTGTGGCCCAATGCTTCATGAGGTGGACCAGGTTGCTGTGCGCCTCATCTGCATATAAAATGTTGTAGGATCTCAGGACTTGACCAGAACACCCAGTTCCAGTCATGAATGGAGGAAGGGCAGTGTGGGGAAGGGAGGGATAATTAGCACATGGATCCTTGGTGCAGGGGCGGGGGGGTAGTCTCTGGAATACTCGCATATACTGCACAGTGCTGAGCAGTGGGGTCATCATGGCTTGAAACGGTTGACTCTGCTTGGGCCCAGCCCAATGAACCGCATAACAAATCATGAGCCTTTTGGCTTTGGACTAATATCATACATAGTTTGTGCTATATGTAAGGACGTACAAAACTGTTGCTTAAAAGTGTGTTTATGGAGTACCTGTGCTAAAACTTGCAGCAGTTTCAAAAAAGATAAAATGCATTCATTCTGGATAAACCAAGTTTCTGGATATCTGTAATCATTTCCTATATGCAAATGAATAAAAATACCTGTATTTCAAGGTCAGTGTTTTTCAAATTTGCCCCTCACTTGCATGTAAAAGAGGGGGTAGGGAGGGGTAAGGGGGTAGAGGACAACAGAGCTACCTGAACCCCCTCCCCCTCAAGTTTATTTTTCCTGCTATATCAGTGGGAGTGGGACAAATTCAAGGGAAACCCCCAATAATTAGATTCTATACTTGGAAAATTATTTAAAAAAATTATAAACTTTCCAATATATAGTATCTAACTATTGGAGGGTTTGCTCTATATTCTGGATCATCTTATGCTTGATTAAATATGGTAGGTTTAAAGCAACCAAAGACAAGGTAGCATTTTATTTGTTCATTCAGTAACATTTCTTTCGAAACTACCTAATGTAGAGAAAACACA